GCTAAAAATCAGGCCTTCTTGGTGGTGGCCTCTCACCTTTGGAACATAGTGCCCACGGAGTTCCACCTGGCCCCCTCGCTGGGAGGTTTCAAAAGTAAATTGAAGACCTGGTTCTTTTGGCAGGCCTTCCCACCAGCTAGTACTTACTCTCATCTTTCCTATCTTGGATTTTCATATGCTATTTTTGTTTTAATTGTATTGTTTGTTTTAATCCTATCTGTGTGTGATTGTAAACCGCCCAGAGTGGATTTCTCCAGATGGGCAGTATAAAAACCAACCAACCAACCAACCAACCAACCAACCAACCAACCAAAAAACAAAGAAACAAACAAACAAACAAACAAATAAAATTCTGTACTACCCTCAGCAGATTCCATTGAAAAAAATGATCTCTTACGTTTTCTTTTTCCTTATTTCCTATTATCATAAGATGACCATCTTCTTATCACCAGATTTCCCACATTTGCCATAGTGGTGTCACAAGAATTGATTAAAGATGGCAATTGCAATTCAAACAGCTTTATTTTTCAAATTGCGTTTGCGCAAAGCAGACATATTTATGAAAAATCAGGTTTTCGCCCATCTACTCCTCTTATATATCTTTTAAATGCTGAAACATGTTGCCTAAATTTCCTCCTTCCCCCTTTTTTTTGCTGCTTCTTGAGCCTTCTTTATAGCTTCCTGTTTTTTCAAGTCTCAAACATTTGCGATTTGTCTTCGGCCAGCTTTAGCAATCTTTTAATGTTGCATATGACCAAGTGAAAGCACTACAAATCCCATTCAAATCACTACTTATTTTTTTTTATAGTGCAGAATATGAACTGCGATATGTAAAATATATTGAAATATTGTAGTTTCTCGGACACTAGACATTTCTTTTCAGTAGCCACATGTTCAGTAGTAGAATTCTGCACGCTGCAACTAGAAAAAATAACTCTTAACGTTCAATACACAGAGCAAATTTCCTTGTGCTGATCTATTCTTTTCATGGACTGATTTATTTTCCCTTGTCATTTTCTTTCCTTTCTGTTTCATTAGTGTCCTATTGACATTGAACTCAAGGTGCCCCCACCAGTGGTAGTGTGGATTTTCTTGAATCCTACGGCGTACGTGACTTTAAATGAGAGTTGGTGGCTACAGGGACTCTCCCTCCTAGATTAATACAAGAAACAGAATATTTTAGAAAGAAAAATATGCACAGATTCACAAAGCAGAACTTGACCAGTCAGAGCTGGTAATGTCTTGTATTTTTAATACTATCCTGGCATATGTTAAGCACATTTCAATGTGGGAGAACCTTTTATTACTCATTTATTCAATATGAAGGATTTCATCTCCCACTCGAATTGAATTATTTTATTAATCAGAAGTCTTCATTGTGTCTTTTGCATCCTATTAACATTTCCAATATCCTGTGATTTATTCTCCCCCCCCCTTTCTTGATGTGGCTTTTGTCAAAATAGACAATATGTTCACTTTACTGGAAGGAAAAGACATGAATAGATTAAAGTATAGCTCTCTGTTACACTTTAATTATTACTTAGGAGCCTCAGCTACGGACAAATGAAGGGAAATGGTCATTAGCACTTTAAAGAGATACTTTAAAATAGGAATTTATTGTCCAGTTTGGGTCATAGGATTTCTAAGTCTTCAACAGCATTTAAAGGAACACAGCCATAAATTGAGTTTACTGATTATGATGATTTTTATTTCTATTTTCTTCAAGCTCTCAAGATGACTACCTGTATATATACAGTAAAAATATAGTAAAAAATAAAAGAAACAAATTTAAAAAAAAACAGCCATGTGAACATAGTAAATTTTGGTAAGGCAATACCTTTATCGAATCATTAAAATGTAGCAAATAAAGTGGATTTTTGAGTTGTCCTGGACTCTTCCCTTGGCAACAATAGTATACAACTTGGGGTTCAGATAGAAAATCTGAAAATTAGCCCGCATTTGATGGCCATGGCTCATGTGATTAGACTGCCAGAAAGGCAAAATAGAATTTTAGATTCCACATGAGGCAGAGGTGAGGGAAGTATCAATTTGTGGATTCTCCATTTCACTAAAGACAAAGACTTGGTTTGCCCCCCTCCCCCAGAATCTGTTGAATGCCTTGGGTTGAGTCCAAAGGCATTGAGACCATTAAAATACAGAAATTGTGTCAGGTCAATACCTCAGCAATATGGAATAATAATTCTTACTCTTGGAAAGTTCTTCTGCCTTATCATTTTTTAAAAATTCAAGTACTGCATCATAGGGTTATGGTGTTATAATTTTTTTCCTGTAAGTGAGAGCAAAGGCAATCTCCAGGTAGAAGCAGATCTTTTACTGGCAAGACCACACACTTTTATAGAGATTTAAAGGATTCTCAAATCCATAGCTGCAAATTGACCTCTCCCTTGAGTGCCTCTTGAATGAGTTTTTCTTTAACAAGATGTTCTTATGTAATTAATAAGAACGGTAAGCTTAGGAACCACATGTCTTAAACCAAATAGGTTTAATCAAATCAGCTCTTCACAAAAAATCTGTTCAGTTTCCAATCTGATACCAGCACCCACCAATAAACCTTTATTATTAGTTGTTATGGAAAGTCAATAGATTTTTTTTTCTCTGTGCATTTTTTGTTGTTACTTCTGGTTTGTTTCCAAATGTGGATTTACTGTGGGATCACCACTTTGTGGATTCATTCATTCAGACTGAAAAGGAAGGTCCATATTACATTATAATCTCTTTATGATCTTCCTATCCTTCCATAGTGCCAGTGGCGTAACGTTGGTTGCCAGCACCTGGGGGAAGGCAAGTATTGTGCCCGCTTGAGATCACCTTGGGAAGCTGCAGGTGAGGGGGCTAGGTGCCTGCTAAGCCCCCTCTCTACACTGCCCCTTTCCTGTTGCCAACTGGCCCCCATTGTTTATGCCAAGGGAAGGAAATCGGGCTGCTCCGGGTTGCCCTTTGCCATCCCCTCCTCGGTTTCCAAGGAGGCAGGTCTCCTCATCTACCATGAAACCCTACCACTGCCGCCACCACCTGCCCAGAGGAGGGAATGGAGTGAGTAAGGCAGCTGTAGCCACCAGAGGGGAGGGGAGGCTTGCAAACTTTCTCACCCTCTCTGCCCTCTGCCTCACCCATTGGCTGTATGGGAGGGGTGAAATTTTGTGCCCTTAAGAATTTTGCACTGAGAGCAACCGCCTCTGTGACCCTCCCACGCTACGCCACTGTGTAGTGCTGCTTTTGTACTTTTTAAGGTGTGAAAGTCTGGAAGGGTTCTTTTTTTAAAAAAAGAGCTCCATAGGTTTGGCATTTGTCTTGTTGTTTACCACAAAATTAACAATCTTCCCTTTAACCTGAAACCTGTTTTCGAGCCTTATTGCAGTGCTAGTGAGGTGAAAGTCCATGTAACTGGAAATCCAAGAGGTTTACTAAAGTCTCATCAGTCTTTGTGAAAAACGTCCAAAGCAGGACTCTGCATTTGTTTTGTTGATCAATAGAAGTTGTACCCTATCACGACCAGAGGTAAAAGACATTCGTTACAAAATTTTCCTGTCCCTTCAACCTCACTCAGATTGCACTCACACATTTTTACGGGTTAGGGAGCTACAGATCATTAAAACCATCAAACTGGTAAAGGGTGAAACTTCTCGTCAGAATCTCATGGAATCTTATCAGATCATGTAATTACATTATTTCAGCCCCGTTTGCTGTGAGCTTTTATCATAGAAATCATAGAAAAGTGCAGTTGGAAGGGGCCTACAAAGCCATCAAGTCCATTATGAAAACTTGTGTGTGTGTGGGGGGGTCTTTGAGGGGCACAAAACATCGTTCATATTCTAAAATTGAAGTGGCTGAAAATGTGCACATTTGGAAAAATACACAGAAATATTATTTAGTCACTGGTAAAAATGTGATAATGTATAATTGAATGCATTTTTGTATTTTTAGTGGGGACTTTCAGTGGGTGGGGAGTGTCGGGGGATTTTTTTAGTGGGTGGGGAGTGTTTGGGGAATTTTATGTGTGTGCATGTGTCTGGTGTCTGGGTGTCTGTGAATTTCATTGTATGGGTATATACTTAAAATGACA